TGCCACGTGGCCCCGCAGAGCTGACGTCGACGCCATGCTCTCGAAGACCACGAGGGAGACAAGGGCTTCCCGCACAAGCGTCAATATACGCCACATGTGATCAGCTGGAGAGAGGGACGCCCGCCAGCTGCGAGCGGATACGCCCGCCCAGCGCCGCCCGTGCGGACCGCATACCGTGCGGCGCGTCCGCCCGACACTTGCGTGGCTGACCGAAAGGCTCCGAAAGCCTCCTCCTCATCATCCTCCTCTTTGTCGTTCCCCTCCCCCTCACCCTCCCCCTCCTCCCCCTCCTCCGCCGACAAGCCACAAACGGGGGAGCTGTTGTCCTTGCCTCCCTGGGAGGACGCACTGTGTCGACGATGTCACGAGGGGGAATGGCAACAGATAGGTCCCACCAATGGCCAAGGACTTCACTCAGGCAAGCAAGCCTCGGAGCGCAAGCTCGTAGCGTCAAGGGGGAAAGACTACAACTCCCCCCATCACAGCTGGTCTGCCCTCGTCCTGGCCCCCGACAGCCCCGCCCCGGCCCCTACGAGGATTGGCAGTCTCGCCATCTCAGCCTCTGCTGACTGCGTACTCAGTCATCGTGCCACCATTGGGGTGCTGATCTCCTCCTGAACGAAGATCGCAAAGGGTAACATCTGTGTTGCGATTGCTGTTGCGAGCAGTGGTGATGCCATTTGCGTATGATAAAAGCATACAGTGAGTGAAAGATAGGCAGCTGCATGCGTCGAATTAAAACTGGTATTGACAAGATGCGTCGCAGTGTAAGCTGGTGCCGTCAAGAAGTGTCACATTTTGAACGTATCGAACAGCTGTGCTCCGTCTGAATTACTTGTCAACCAGACGTGTCGAGTCCCAAATTCTCATTAACAGTGGGTATGGAGGCCAAAGCTGATTGTAATCGGGATGCGCCGGCCTCCAGCGGCCCTGTTAAACGAGGACCTCGCTCTTCGCAAGGGCGTGATTACTGAGGGCAGCGACGCGTGTAATTGTCACGTTGTGGTGCCAATGGTGCATAGCAATTCTACGCTTATGCACACTTGTACGAATTGTCAAATTGAAATCCCAAGCAAGCCACTCTGGCAATTCCCAAACCAACCTGATGATTCCCAATACACTCTGGTGATCCCCAACCGCTTCTCTAACAATTCGATTCCCAAGAATTTCCTGTAACCCCCCACATGGCAATTCCCAAACCTCCCTGTGCCTGCCACAACACTCTGGGAAAATGCTCAACCACGCTGGAAGCCAAAGCAAACCCACCTCCAACAACATACCAAGCCACCTCTGGTATAATCCCACCAGCCCTTTGGGCGTGAGTGGTTTAGCGAGCTCTCTCTGTTCTCAACCCCCCTTCTTCCCCTTCGGGGAGGGGTTTACCCCTCCCCCTACCCCTCCCCCTGGACCTGGAGAGGGCGCCTCGCGGGTCGTCAGGGGGGTCATTTTCGACTCCTGGGAGGGCTAAAAAACGACACCCCTCACGAGGATTCAGGCCCCGACGGGGGGAGGCAGAAAAAACCCTCTCCTCTTCTTTGAAGCCAAAATCATTGATTTTACTACGGTGTTGGCCCCATTTTGGCCTTATGAGGGGGCATCGCTCATTAAAGCTCCCCTCTTCTTTCAAGCCAAAATCATTGGCTTTACGAAGGTTTTGGCCCCATTTTGCCCTTCTGAGGGGGCAGCGCTGATTAAAGCTCCCCTCTTCTTTGATCGATTCCCTCCAAGATGGCCCCAAGAAGCGCCCAGGAGGCACCAAGAGGCCCCAAGATGGCCCCAAGAGGCCCCCAGGAGGCCCCCAAGAGGCCTCCAAGAGGCCCCCAAGATGCCCCCAAGCGGTCCCCAAGAGGCCCCAAGAGGCTCCCCCGAGGCACCCAAGACGCTCCTGGAAGCCCCTGGGGCCGCCAAAAGGCCCCCAAGACGCCCCAAACGGCCTCCAAGAGGCTCCCAAGAGGCCCGAAGCGGGTCACCCAAGGCACCAAAGACGCTCCTAGAAGCCCCTGGGGCCGCCAAGAGGCCCCCAAGACGCTCCAAAAGGGGACGAGGTGCCCGAACGCCTCACGCCACGAGGAGCCCGAACGACTCACACCAGGACGAGGGGCCCGAACGACTCACACCACGAAGAGCCCGAACGACTCACACCAGAAGGAGGGGCCCGAACGACTCACACCAGGACGAGGCGCCCGAACGACTCACACCACGAGGAGCCCGAACGACTCACACCACGACGCGGGCCCCGAACGACTCACACCACGAGGAGCCCGAACGAGTCACACCAGGAGGAGGGGCCCGAACGACTCACACCAGGACGAGGGGCCCGAACAACTCACACCACGAGAAGCCCGAACGACTCACACCAGGACGAAGAGCCCGAACGACTCACACCACGAAGAGCCCGAACGACTCACACCAGGAAGAAGGGCCCGAACGACTCACACCAGGACGAGAAACCCCAAACGACTCAAACCACGAGGAGCGCTTTCTCTCCCTCCTCCTCCGC